TATGAGTTTGTACACCCAGAATAAACAGCTGGCATTTTTCAATAGCACAGCTGGTGTAGGAACATAAAATTACTAGCATTTGAACAGGCATAAGCTATATTTGGCAAAACATATTGCATGTAAGCTGAAAATTTGCAATTTAATTTTTGTTTCAGGGGAAATTGAAATGACCAGCGTTGTATGCTGGTTAAGTCTGAACCTGCTCCTTTTGATTTCAATATAACTCATTGTGGTTGCCTTTAATGTGCCAGGATACAGTAAATTTAGATTATTTCTACTTCAAATTGTAAAATGTGCTTCTGTAGTTGAAAATGCTAGAGAACAATCCACTCTTACTAAGCTGCTGATATATATATATATGTGTGTATATATATATATATATGTATGTACACACACAGATACAGTTGTGGCGCAGACTCTGCACCCAAAGACAAAATAACTTTAGGAAATATTTTATATTCACTGTTATTCGTAGTTATTCTCTTTTGTTCAGTGACATGTGGACACACCTCCCAAATAAATAAGATCTAAAATAGAATATTCAACTTTGAGCGTGAATAATTCTCTAAAACCCAGAACTTTCTTTCAGTTCTCAACCCCCTGATTTGCAGTAACAATTTTTTGCAGGCAGATTTGAATTTGGTTGGGCAGTAACGATGGCTTTCACAGCTGGTCTGACACTTTAGTTGCTCTCCTGTAGTTTTCTATTTTGCTTTCAAGACAAACTGCATCTCTGGTATGATTCAATCCCGAATTAAAATGACCCTTGGAACTAATTTAGAAAGCAGTATAAGGGTATTGTGGTAGAGGGGACCGCTTTAGATAGCTCTGTGATTTTAACTGTGGTACCTCACCAATAATTAGGTAAAATCAGTCTTGCAGATTTTTGCTGTTGTTCCTCCTTGTAATGAATCAATCCTGTTGTTTCAGCAGACTGAATGACCTTTTGCATAGGTAAAAATAGTTTGGCTTTTGAAGACAGTATCTGTGAAAGCTGCTTTTCCTTCTGGAGCCGCTTTCTAGGATTTGTGCCTCAGGGGCAGCCCATTCAGAGTAACCCCACAGCTCAGCAGCAAACTTCCTTGCACTTAGGGTATTTCCCGATGGCAAAGCCAGTGCAGTGCAGAGGTGCCTGGTTTGCTCTCAACATCGTAGCTTAGATCCTAGGAATCAGATGATGTGTTAATATATACTCCCTGTGTTAATATATCCTGCCTTTCAGCCAGATTTCCTTGGAGTTGGTGCCAGTTCCGTGCTAGCTGAGGTGGCTCTGTGGGACTCTGGGCTGCATCGTCCCGTGGCTCCCTGTGTTCCCGCTCTGCTGTTCACACTTTCCTTGCGGATTTTCCTGCAAGTCAAGCCCAGCAGTGCTCTCTTTGCATGACCCTTCTCCACCATGTCACCATTTCAGCAGAAAACAGCTATTTGGGAGTTATAAACTGAAACTTTTATACTGGTGCTTGTGCAACGTAAGAGATTTCTAAGTTCCTTTTCATAGTGGGAGTTTGTCTTCTTCCTGCATGTGGCTGTCACGACTAAGAGGACGCTTGGTTCAGTGGCAGATTGTCCAACTCTGTAATGATTTCAATTCTGTCGATTTGTCTGTCAAGTTCTAAAATCTGGAGCTTATTTTATAAGACAGTATTTTCCAGAAAGCCAAATTTCCTTCCAGAGAAAGCATCCTTTAGGTGGTTGATAGTGAATGCTATAAGGCAAGAGAGCTGATCCCTTCTTTTGCTTGCAGAGTCCCAGCTCAGGGAGTCACAAGTCTAGCAGGAAAAATGAGAGCTGGAAAGAAAAACTAGTGCAAAAAGGGGGCCCGGTAGGAACAAATCTGACAGTACATGAAGCATCAAATGCTAGCACATTGTACCTTCCTCTGTGCTAGTTAAAACCAATCTAGGAGAGTTAATAACGAGGAAAACAAATCACATTGTCAGAACCTGAGCTTGTGTCACGCAAAAGATTTTCTTCAATTATTGTTAATAACCGTGTGTCACCGCCTACGCCGCGAGGCTCTCGGGAGGCACCGCACGGGCCGGGTGCTCCCTCAGCGCGGCCTGCGGCCGCAGCACCCTCACCTCAAGAACAGACCGACGTTTTAGTAGTTACTCCGGGTTTATATGAAGGGAAGTAAAGAAATATAGTCTTGCAGAACTCGAACGTGCACTCATTTGTCCGCTTCTTTTATAACAGTTTGAGTGAGGCTTAAATATAGACCGTGTAGTCGCTAAACTGCCTGAATGGAGTGTGGAAATACATTCAACAGTGAATACTCTTGTCTTCCAAAGTCAGTGGCTTGAAAACAAATCACAAACCTATCAATCAATTTTAAGCATTGGTTTTTCTCTTAATCAGACATCATTCCATAAATCAAAAGTACTTGAGCAGCTTCCTACTGTAGCCCCATAGGATTTATAGTGCGTTGTTGCAGTGCAGTTAGGTTTAACTGAGGATAAAGTGCATCCATTTTATTTTGTAGCTAGAATTAAATCGTAATTAAATTGTGATCAATGACAAAATTCATGTTGCTCTGAAAGGAGGCGGGATCTTGCCCTTTATCCATAGCTGGATCCGCGTCTGTGCATTTTGTTGCTGCTGTAATTCTTCCCTCTTTCCGTTTCACCTTTGTGATTTCCTGAGAACGGGACTGGAAGCCACTGGCATGTTTTAGCATGATTCATTGTGTGAGAAATGTTTTCCACTGTCAGAGTACAGTACTCTCAACAACTATTAACTTTAATAGGTATAAAAGACATCCAGCAGCCCCCGGCTTCAGGCTTCTGACTGCAGGGAGAGACCTCACTGCTGCCTTCCAACAACAGATTGCCTAAGTTGGAATGACAGCGCTGTCCCCAGTGCTTCACTCTAATGACAGCAAAATAAAAGTAGATGAAAGGGTTCAACAGTTCTTTGGCATACAAGAATTGCCATCTCAAATCAAGTCAATGATACCTCTTTCACATTTTTTGGGAGCATTCAGGTAAGCATTTTAAGGATAGGTGGTACAAAATCAATTTTTAGATAACTTTGGAATAAAATCTCTTTCGAGAGAATGATACTTTCACATTCCATGTGAATTTTGAAAGGCTTCATTGCATGAATTTCTGTTGACTTCCATGGAGACAGTATTTGGCCTTGGAAAATTGTTTTACAGCTAGGTACACAGAAATGCAGATTGTAACTAGAGCAATATAAATAACAGCAGCATGTCAGTTTACCTTTATGGGAATAATGATTGCTATCTATAATGATGACTATCTATCTATGCTGTAAAATGTTACTTTGGTATTATTTCACCACGTTATGGAGAGTAACTTAGGAAAAGCTGTGAGGGCTTTTACTGGGCCTTTGTTTTTCGTAATGTTTCAAAAGCTATGTCTTTGTTTTGCATTTTATTCATGTAAACAAAAAAAAAGATACTTAAAAAAAAGCTTTATATGAAATAATAGACTCCCTAGTTTGGTAAAGTACTATAATTTTGGAAGTTAAACCTTTTTTCATCCTGCTCAAAAATGCTATTAGAAGGTAATAAAGCAGATAAAAACAAATGAGCCTCCTTGCACAGAGGAGCTAAGTCACTTTAAATACAGGTCGGTGTGCATGTCCCTTGCAGAACCTGGCTCTCTGCAGCAGGACTGGTCAGTGCAGTAGCAGTGGGAGGTGGTGTCTGCCCGTGCCCAGGGAAAGTCACTGCCCGGCGAGGGGCAGGAGGGGCTGGCAGAGCCTGCTCTGCTCCTCAGGGTGTCCAGGTGAGAGGCTGAGCTGCCTGGGGTGGCCGGCGCGGGCAGAACTGCAGTTGGTGCGATTCCGAGGCTCTCCCGAGATCCTTTCTTCAAGCACAGGCTGTGCAACGTCTGTCAAGCAGTTGTCAAGCATAACCATGTGTTAGGACTCTTCATGGTCTCTCTAATTTGATACTTTGCTAGTGATTCCTACCATGAAAGAATAGCAATGGTCATTAGCAAAACATGCAGCATAATTATCAGTGGATAAGTCTGATTCATGCTATTGGGGCAAACTAAACCGTAGTCCAACCCTTTCATTGATTGGATGCAGCCCTGTGCCACGTGCTCTAGGTGACCCTGCGTGAGCAGGGGGGTTGGACTCGATGACCTCTGAGGTCCCTTCCAACCTTCGGCATTCTATGATTCTGTGATTCTATGATTGTCAGTGTTGACTTGCTTTGCTTTTAGCACTTCAGGCTGGATATATCTAGGAGAAACTAAGACAACTGTGTCTGACCATTACAACCGAGAACAAATTGCAGAGGACTGTGTGGAAGCAGGAAATCAAAGAACGCGGTGATACATGCAGTTATGCAGCCAAACACTTTCCAGAGATATCCATGCTAACTAAAAGTCATAACAGAAATATCTACAAAGATCTCAATAGAGATTCTGCTTTATAGCAAACTGTTACTTCTTTCCCTCTTTCCTCAACTAACCTTTTCATGTTCCACAGGCTATAAATTACTCAGCTCTTTCTTTCCATTAGTAGATAAGCACTTTATCACCTCTCCTCTTTCCTAACATCATTATTACTCTGCAGGAACTAACTGTTTTTGCTCTTAGGTGGTCCAGTTGATACATATCTAATTACAAGCAGAGCATTTTTGTCCTAACTTGCTTTGAAGTTTGTTGCTTTGATTTCAGACCTGAAGAACAGCTTCACGTGCCTGGAAGTTTTTCTCCTTTTTCCATCTGTACTAGTTGGTCTAGTAAAATATATTATCTCTGTCAATAAACTTTGCCTTGCCTGTATACCAGCCTCATTGTTAGTGAAGCAGAGAAAGCAAGTTAAAGTGCATGTGTGAAGATTAGGGCTGCTTTTTGCCTGACAGATTAGTGATTTTGGATTAACCTTCTTAGATTTTGGATTCCTGCATAACCTGAGAATCGATATGAAAAGTATCATTTAAGTGCTCAAAGTTATTTTCAATAATATTGCTAAATCATATTCTCAGGCTTCTTTCACGTCATTTTGGTTTTGCTTTGTAGTACAGAATTGGGCAGCTGTACATGATAAGCAAGCACAGCCATGAGCAGAGCGACCGAGGGGAAGGTGTGGAAGTGGTGCAGAACGAACCCTATGAAGATCCAAATTACGGCAATGGTCAGCTAACAGAAAAACGGGTCTATCTCAACAGGCAAGTATGAGAAAACTGTTTCTCTCAGCATGGGCAGTAGTAGTAACTTGCAAGGAATATCTCTTTCACACAATAGCCTTTCTGTTTCAAATAAAACATGCTCCACGAATATGTGCCACTTCCTAGCAGCTGCAGAAAGAAGGAAGGTAGGATAAAACTGCTGCCTGAAGTAATTAGTTGTCATTTTATTAGAGTATTTTACATATTTTACATATTATTACTTGGATATTCTCACTTAATAATTTTACAAGGCCTGTTGCCTATTTTGGGGGACAAAAGATTTGCCTCAGTGAAGTGAATTGACGTTGTGAGTGTCCATCCATCAGGCTTGTACAATGATGACTTTTTGCACAGTGATAGACTTAAAGACATGATAGAAAAAATTGCTTTTGTTTCTCAAAAGTCTCATCATTTCTTAAAGTGAAATATGTATCTCTTGCTATGGCAAAATTATATGGCGGAGGGTCAATGTTTCCACACTCGAAAGGACAGAGATGTTTTAAAACATATATATATATATATATGTACACACACACACATTTATATTGTATGAAATATATTGCTCAATCTGTTGCCATTTTTATTACTGCTGATCTAATTGAATACCACTGTTTTTCTGATATTCTTCTCTTCCTCTGGGCCTCTTCCCTTTTGTTAAGTTTTTATACTCTTCAACCTTTAGCAGCGAGCATAGCTATAATATATATAGCATAACATATATATATAGCTCTATTTATTTTACATTGCAAGTAACTCCTCCAGTGCGATCCTGACATATCTAACTTGGGCTAAGCTGAATCACACACAGAGCTCCATAATGCATCTGTCGCCAACATTTAATATTGCTGTGTTTGAAACCCTCTTTTCTCACGGGATAGATATAAGACAAGGAAAAATAGTGTTCCTGCTGTGTAGCTCCCCAGTGTTTCTGGATCTTTTTTTCCTTCATGTTAAAGAGAGACAAGGCATCGGGCACCACCGAATTAGCACCGAGGACTAGCTGAAAACATCTGCAATGGTTGTGCTGGAGGTGTTTGCAGGACGCACTTGGGAAGCTGCTTCTGCTGTGCAGGTAGCAGACCACAGGGTACCAACCTTGAGAAAGAACTGTGGGCCTCCAGCAACTTGGGAAGTTCACTTAAAGCCACAGGGGATGTCTAAAGTTGGGCTTACTCAGTTAAATGATAGATTATCAATATTTTATGGTAATCATCACCAAATTTGCCATGTGAGGCTTTCGTTACTCTGCTTTTGCCAGTATACTGCAACCTGATGTTGCAACACTAGACGAGCTTTGGGCAGAGGATCAGCAGGAGTTCGGAGAGCTCTGTCTTTGCTGGGAGGCCAGAGTCCCAGGGAGCCTGGCTGATGTCCACAGTGCTGGAAACATTCTCCTCAAACCCCTCTGAACTGTGATACCGCAGGGGTTTTCGTTTACCTCCCATCACCAGCAGAATATAACCAACACAAAAGTGATAACAACATAAGGTATATATAGTAAAAAAAAAAAAGAAAAAACAGAAATGCATTAGAGCCAAAGCCTGATAATGAGAATAAAAATTGCATTTTGAAAGTTATATTGATGTTTTTAATTGAATAATTGCAAAATACTGGACTTTTATGAACTATAAGAAATAAAGAGACAAAATACAGTCATTAGGCTAGCTGAATTGAAAAGATAAAATATTACAAGGTTTCACAGTGCTGGCTTATTTAAATCTGTTTTAGAAGAATCTTAATAGAAAAGAAAAAATAGATTCAAGTGGTAGAAATGACAATTCTTGTAAAGAGTGATTTAATTTCGTCTCCCTTGACAAATGGGAGTGAGTGACAAATGAGTTAGTAATGTCTGCAAAAAAAATATATTTGTTCTTTCAGGAAAAAAATGAGGAAAAAAAAAAGAAAGGAGAGGGATTAAGGATTGCAGAGTATTTGGATAGAATTGAACTCCTCCTCTTTGTTGCCCAAACCCTCCTCTCTTTGGACACCAAAGCTCTGTGGCAGATACGTGTTTTCCAGTTCATCCTTCCTCCTGTGCCAGGCCTGGTCGGTAACTGAATGTACAGATATGTAGCTGTGTTTCTCATTTGCTCTCTTTGACACCCTCTGTGTCCTAAGAGAGCAAATACAATTATGTGTGGTCATTATACTGAGCACTCAAGGACAGGCTCTGTGGTTTTCTTCCTATCTGCACACCCCTGTGAGACCTAAGCATAACCTGTTTATGACAATTGAAATATTTTATTAAGTACAAAGTAATAATTTGTGTGCAAGTGCATACAAATGAACTGCATTCAGCTCACTGTTTTTTCTCTGTCAGATCATTGTGAAAATATTTGAAGTTAAAAAATCTGTTTTTTTCAGTATTTTGGAAAGTTTTTGTTTTTCAGTTCACCTCAAATCTTTATTATGAGAGTGGAAACCCTTATATCTATCCATTATGCCATGTTGCAGCAGAAACCTAAGTTTGTGTTTACAACAGTTTTTTTTTTATTAAATGAGAGAATATAATGCTTTTATTTCTGTTGCTAGAGGGATGGTGTCATTGTAATAGGCCTGACAGCGTAGCCCTTGATTTTGCAGGAGTCAGGGATTGATCCATGCAATGACACTTTACAGATAAAACTTACCTCCTTACAGCACCTCTTGGCCAGACTCACACTCAGTCCCTTCGTAAGAGCCTTCTCAGAAGGGCCTGTTACGAGAGCCTTGAGTTTATGCTATTGAGATGAAACCATAGGAGCTTATCTCAAGTACATACTGCACTCTGTAGTGCCTCTGCAAATGTGCATCGTTTGTACCGACACAGATAGCTGCACTTTACGCCTTGTTTCTGCAGCTGTGACCACTGGGGTCACAGTAGGAAACTCTCCTGTTTAAATGGACATTTTCACAGTCCTCAACTTTAAAAAAAAAACTCCAGTTCCTATAAGCTGAACAGAATGAATTTAGAGATAAAGCCTTAGTGCACTTCCTGCTCTAAATTGTCCTTGTGCTGCAGAATTGCGGAAGTCCAACTAAAACTACACTCTGGGAAATGCAGCCAATGGAAAATATGAGCCGTGTCTGGCTGTCCCGATACGGTGTTGAGCTGAATAACCTCAGTCCTACCCGCGAGTGATACTGGATACTGCAGGGTGTCCGCATGAAAGATCCCCACAGCAACCTCAGGTTCAATAGCAAGGAGAGCTTGGATGATGCAGAGCTCATGGAGAAGCAGCAGCTCCTCAGCCTTTTGCAAATCTACCCCAAAGCCCACTGAGGAAAGCAGCCCATGTATTAGACTTTTTCTTCCATCTTTCTTTCTTGCATTAACAAGCCTTGATTTCCTGTATTCTTTCTTCTATTTTCTAGCCATAGGTCTAAAATAAATAGTTTTCTTGTGATTAAATTTGATAGAAAGATAAAGTAACTGTTTATTGGCTTAGCAGTCTTGGCTTTGAAGTGGCAGGAGCAGCCAACCTTCTCTGCCCGCACAGCTAATCTTGGCCCAAAGAGCCCATTTTTATTCTGCTGCAATTTTGATATGATGTGGGAGCAGCTGGGCTTTCAGGTTGTGCCCGGGTACCTTGCAGGAGATCTGCTTTGTTTCTCCAGGCACCCATAGGACACCTCCTCGCACCGATGTGCCAGAAACGCAGGAGTGTCACTGTGAGGGGACCCGCAGCCTGCAGGTTTGCACAGCTCCACACAACTGTGAGCGGCTGTTCTGTGTGCTCTGAAACGTGCTCAGGAACAACAAATGAGTCACTGTAGTCAGTGACTACATAAGTTTAGTGAAATGTTGGATATTCATGCCTTGGTTACTGTTCAGGACAAGCAACAACCCACAGTCTCATGGCTTCATCTAAAACAGCTCCTGTTACACTAACAGTGGTGGTGATTTTTGAACTGTCCTGAGGAAACCAGAGCAAATAATTCATAAAATGTTTCTTGTTTACTGGTGGGTTTGGCTGGAATGCCTTTGAGAAACATTTCCTCCTTTCCTGAACTTCATCTGGGGAAGGAAGCAGTAAAAAACTGAGAATGTGATCCACAGATACACATGCTGCCAAACTAAAAATATTATATGTTTGAGCATTCTTGCTCTGAAAGGGCCTTTAAAAGAGTTATTATGCATTCATGACTGTGAACTGAGAGTAATGTGTGCTTTGCCCATAAAATTATTTATTTTGGAGACATTCTGTGCCAGCAAAGACAGGTTGACAGGCAAATAGTCTAATAATTGCGAAAGGAGCAGTCATATGTTAACAAAGATACTGCTAATAAAATTTTCTCATGTCAGTGTCAGCCTTACCAGAGTTCTGAATCCCTCAGTGCCTCTTCGCTCTCAGTGGGGTACTGGTTGAAGGGCTACATCTGTGAGCACCAGAGGCATCAGAGAGCATGAAGTCTAGTAGGGATAAAGGAAGGAGCAGGGAATCATAAAGAGGCACAAGATGGACAAAATAAACATAAAAAAAAATAATACAGTGAAGTGTGATTGTGCAGTATGCAAAATGCTGCTTAAGAGCCTGTAAACGAGAAAGGTTTGTGCAAAGAAAAGAAGCTAGCTTTGAGCAGTGCCATCAAAGATCAAAAGTCAATGCACTTGAGCTTGAATTTTTTGATAATGTGCTAATGTCTGCAGTTTGCCTCTGGGCAAATACAATATTTATACATAGCTAGATCATGGTTAAATAAACCTTAAGGATCCAAACTCTTTTCCCCAGAAATTTTGGAGGGTTGTTTTACTTTCTGCATATACAGTTTTCCAAGTAAAACCATTTCAAATATTTACACTTGGAAAATTGAAGCTTGAAAATGTCTACTTCAGTTCAATAAAGATCCTGTCTTAGGCTGGGTGATCTGTGCTAGGCTTGGCCTGACTGACTAATGATTTTAATGGTGTCCCTGAAGTTCAGTGATATTCCCGGTCTCCAAATCTCTGCCTTCTTTTGAGGGACTAGTCCTTGGTCTTTATTACTGGCAGCTCAAGTGATTATAACTGATGTCAGAGGAAAGGGTTGAATGCTGTATTTGCATAAGCTTACAGTCTTTTTAAAATGCATGTTTCTTACTTCATTGATTCCAGTGAGTGGCCAGAATGAGAGACGATGGTAAAAAAAAAAATGCTCACAGCCTTCCACAGTCCTCTTTTATTACCATTTAATGGTCTTATCATGCACTGTATCCTCTGCATGTCTTTTCATTCTTAATCTACTGCCATTGTACCACTGCTCTGTGCTTGGAGCTGTGACATCAAGTATCAGCAGCTCTCTTGGCTTCTGCCTTTTACTATTCCAACATGAGCAAAATAGGACTAATACAACCCGAGAGCTTCACAGATGTATTTTGAGGAACGTGTTCATTTTAATATAAAAGCTTCATAATCGAGGAGCGGTGTTGGTATGGGAAGAACTACCTACTGAGGCTTTGGGTTAGTTGAACGTGAAAGTTTGTGTGTTAGCAAGGAAGAAATTCCATAAGGAGAAATAATGGAATCAGAGTCAGAAGTGGACTGTCATGGAGTGCTAACTGGGACCTCTTGGTAGAGAGGGCCTCCTTGTGGCCAGGAGCGCTCTGACCCAGGGATACTTGGCATCTTTCACCTGGAGCTATTCCACATCCAGAGGGTTGAGTCCACAGAGCTTTGAAACTGGCCCTGAAACTGTCTCATGAGATAAAGATGTTGGGGAGCATCAGTATTGCTGTGTCCTGTGAGACCCTATCCCCACTGTGAGCATGTTTGGCAAGTGTCTATTTTCTAGTGCTCCCTTACATCAAAACAAATTCTAATTCTATCCTTTCTTTTATTTTCAGCAAACTACCTAGCTGGGCTAGAGCAGTTGTTCCCAAAATATTTTATGTGACAGAGAAGGCTTGGAATTACTATCCTTATACAATCACAGGTAAGGGATAAAGAAGAAATGAAAATGGACTTTTCCTGATTGGGTAGATAAGCTTATCTTCAAAAGCTTCAAGTAACATATTGAGACACATATATTAAGGAATTTTTACAACTTATGTAGAATTGCATTTATATATCCCTCTCATATAGATTACTATGAGAAAATAAAGATTATAGATGAAGAATGCATTAGGTAAAAAGTGGAGTCCTCCTTTCAGTGCAATTTCTTCCTTGCAGAGAAAGTATCAAGTGCTTAGATGCTGTGGTGACTTATAACCTTGATTGTCCCATACACTTTAGTTTAAATATAAATCAGATTATCTGACACAAATATTCTGATTATTATTGTGTGTTTACTGTAAGGATCCTGCATCATTATTTTGTTTCACATTTCTTTTTTTTTTCTTTTCCCTCATCATTCTTTTTTTACAAATGGACAATTGGAAATCAGAATACACAGTAAGTTTTTCTTCCTCTTTTAATTTTGAAAGTACGGTATTTATGTAAAATATAGTACTGGAATCCAAGCTGATTCCTTTATAATGTGCATTCAGTAGTAGAACTCTAAATCTATTTGTTTGAGAAGTTTAAGGTTAACTTTGAACTGTTTCTGTGGGAATCCTATAAATTATTTATTTTTTAGTATTTTAAAATGATTTAATATATTAAAATATTTCAGTCACTAGCTGGAACAAAGAGAAACTTATAAAGAAGAACAAGGCTTTTAAGATTCTAGTTATTACTTGTAGTCATAAGAGCAGATTTTGTTTTATTTATTGTTTTATTAACTTATAAAATGCTCATCTCTGGTATAGTATCTGGGAAACTGTACAATCTGTAGACAAAATTAAATGTGATCTGGGCCTGGTGCCCAGGAAAGGCAGCTATTCCCTCTAGCAGAGCTAAGGCAAAACCCAGCTTATAAATCATGAGAAAATAAAAATTGTTTTCCATGTGCTGGATACGTAGAGAAGAAGGTGAGGAGGCAGTTCCAGGCAAACGGTCCTTCAGAAACTCCAGCCTTAATTTAGATTGTACTTCTGCCTACAGATGAAACATAATCCCCTCATTTTTGTTAGTACTGCAATGTTCAAAACGTTTGTGCAGTTAAAAAAAAAAAAACCACAGTAAAGAACAAAGAGAAGAAAAATGTTCTTATGTGAATGAGACACCAAAAAAAGCCATTCAAAGGCTCAGATGTCAAAGCTGGATTTGAAAATATTACGGCCAGTTTGAATAGCCCAAGTATTGCACCCTGCTTTTCAATATGTACCATAGATATCTATTATATATCCTGCATTATTTCCTCTGTAAAATTGATTATCAGAGGAAACCCTTTTGTTCTCTAAAGGACAGTACTAATGAGGGGACCGATTCTCAGCTATTATTGTGAGATAAGATCTTCAACAAGGCCTGTCACAGTTTACATTCATTAAAGACTTACCTGTTGATAGCAGGTTCAATATGAGCTGGAGAAGGTGATATGCTATGTCACAGTGGTATCCATTACTTTGTTTTCTATTCAATTCTTTTTCATTAACTGTTTACATTTTCAAGAAAGGGGTTTGAAGGAAAAGGAAAAATACTTGCAGAGACCAAAAATCTTCACTACACAGAGGCTAAACTAAATATGATTTCTTTTGGATCAGACTTTCACTCTATGCAAAATCTCAATTCTGTTTTTAAATCAGATTAATTAAGGAATATATTATGGAGTCGAGTCAAATGGAGAAGCATAACTGCAATAATTTACTAAGACCTGGTTATATGTAAGTAAATACATTAGGAGAAAGATAAGTCAACACAAAGAAACGTATCTGAGTCAATTAATGCTGAAAGGGGTGGTGGTGGACAGAAAAATATGGATTTGAGATGCAATGCTTGAGAGATTGTCAACACCAAAGAACAATGCAGTAGCCAGCAGTTTGAATCCTGATCCTGGTTTGTGTCTAGCCTGATGAGGCAAGAGCTGGAACACATCTCAGCAAAGATTTGTAGAAGGGAGACAATTAGCAAGATGTTCAACATTAGCAAAAATACCATTGCAGGGTCAAAGTGACTTGTAAAGAAAAGTTTAAATCAGTCTACAGCTGTAGAAGGTAGAACTGTCGCCAACTGACACTAATTCTCGAGGGTGTTGGAGACTGATCCTTCACCATGGTTCAAGGAAGCACAACTTTCTAGCTGTGCTATTCAGATGACATGAAGAAAATTGTACTTTAGATAAAAATCTGAAATATATTTTTATGAAGCTGTTAGGCCATGAAATGATTTTCAAGGGAAAATGGAGAAAGTGTCTCTGCCTCAAGCTGTTGAATCTAGAACAAAAATGCTAAATATACCATTGGGAATAATTCCTGTGCTTCTCTGGAATACGTCTCTAAATTTTGATTTGCTGTATTCATTAGAGACTTCTGAAAGAAAGTATGAAACAGCACAGATGCTGCCAAAAATATGTAAGATCGCTTGGAAACATTTTTTCTAAAGATAGTGAATTCGCTCTAGAGGGTCTGAGGGACATCCTAAGAATTAAATTTAGCCCCATTTCAGGAAAACTGATTCTAAAGGTAGGCCAACAATTGGATAAACACAGCATAATCTTATAAAGTCAAGTGCATACAGCTGGGAAGGAAAAATCAAAGCTTTCTAATCTTTCAAGTTCCACTCCAGATACAAGAGGCAGAACCTGCAAGGCTCAGTCGTGTTATTTCAATGTATGTTAGTAGTGTGGAAGAGGATGTTGACAATGGATGAAGCTTGGTGATAATATTAAGGTTTTTCTTTTGTCAAATCCGAAGGCTGTAAAGAAACAGTATTCAAGCACAACACAGAATTCTATGATTTCATTCAAGATGATTTAATAACTCTTGTTTTCCTGTGAAATACAACGCATTTCATAAATTTGACCATCTTAAGGACCTGGTACTGTGAGATCCTCTAAGAAACTTCAGCAGGTATCAAACACCATTTCCAGAATACTGTTCCCTGGAATGTATAAAAAGCCATGAGTGCCTCGGCTGCATGAAAACTACCATGGAAATTAGAATGTTGTGATGCTTGTACTCTATTCTGAGTGCAGTTTTGATCATATCTGCTTTAAGGAAAGGTATTTGTTACACAGCAAACTCTTAAATTTGACAGCCAACAGGAGAAGATGACTGCTACGTTTACTACCAAATCTGATAACTGTATTAATAAAATGGAAAGCAAATGAGCTTAGCAGAACTATTGTACAAGCAGTGTTTTTTGTGCTGTGTAATATGTGAAACATTGTAATGTCAAGAGAGCATTTTAAAATGTGCACTCTGCAGTATGAGGAAGAGGACCTTGCTAAAACTGTGATAAAAAAAAGACTTTCCATCAGGAACATGAAACATGGGTAACATCCCAACAAATTTTTTAATATCAAACTTGGAGCTAATCCTTGCAAGCTTCTTCCTGATACTGAGAGAAATTACAAAAACTCTACTTTTAGATCTCAGAAGAGGTCCAGACTTGGGGATAACTATTTAGAAAACAAGATACTGCTGTAAGGCTCTATTCCATGTTTTCGTGGCTGGGGCTTTACTCGAGCTGTGCACATGAGAAAGTGCAACTATTAATCTCTCACATTTGGCAAAGGAGTGGCTTCGTTTTTAATCTTGTAGTTAGAAACCTGACTAGATAGCTTCCTGAAACAAATGTTTAACTTCTGCTTACAAGCTCATTTAATGCTGTGTTTGAATTAAGTCCGGTCCAGCCAGAGCTGCTCCTGGGGAAGGGGTTACTAGCTGCTGGGTTTTACAAAGAATTCCTTTGCTGGAACATTCCCTACCGGGACCAGGGAGGAAAGATGCTTCCCAGCTATCAACAGGCACCTACATTTCAGCTTACTGCAGCATTTGCAAATATATCTTTAGAGTAAAATACTTAGACTAACATTATATATATATATGTGTGTGTGTGCGTGTGTGTGGACTAATCTCTCAGGAGACTTTCTTATTTTCCTTTCCTGAGGTTGTGCAGCTAGATTAGAAATAATTAACTAGAAAGCAAACCACTCTCTGTTGCAAACCACGTGTAAAAGGATAACACAGGACTAGGTTCTGTACCTGCAGTGGGATATTGGTAGACAATAAGCAGCCCAGAACAATTTCCCATTTGACCTGTTCAAGTGCCAGCTGAGGTTCTGGACAAGAAAGGAGCCTCGAGCAAACAAATAATCAGATCATAGGCTGACTCAACCAGGGTGCAAGCCAAAATTCGTAAGATCAAAGTACACTGAAAATGAACCAAACAAAGTTTAGCGATCGAGGTGGAGTACAAAGGGATTAGGAAAAACACCAACAGCCTTCAGTCAAACTGTCCTCTGTTTGAAGGTGTAGTGTTTACCTGGGGTAGTTTCAAATACTTTTGCTGTCTAATCTAACTAGTTCCAGTGGTTTGGGCAATATTGCAGTTCTCAGAATGGAATTTAAAAATAGTAAAAATATTTTTTTACCCTCTCATAATTACATATAATCAATGGCTAATTGTTAGTTCTAATAATAGTATATAAAGCAAGAATGATTTATTGTCTGCAGAGAAGATCATTCTTCCAACTCACCAATGGTTCATATTAAGTTCAGAATAGGATGCAAATTCAAAATATTTATGGAAGGAATTGAGGAGCAGAAAGCAGGAGACCAGGATTCCTCTGATGAAGTATTGTACTCGTTCTTCAAAAAATGACAGAGGCAAAAACACCTTGCATGTGTCAAGGCCCTAGAGTGATAGTTGCTGAATGTTCCATTATCAACCTGCTGTTTTCTGATTACTTTGAGAACAGACAGGTTATATGCTGTTGTTACTGCTATTTTTATCACCAGATGATAGATTTGAAGAGAAAGGAAAATTGTTGTTTCAGATAAATATTACAAAGGAATTTTTAGGATTTTTTTTCCAGTGTCTTCCTCATCTCTGTTCCAGGATTGGAGCCTAAAAGTAACAAGGAGAGCAGAGGATAACTGGTACCAGTACTCTAGTAAAACACAGATCAGCTGCTTTAGAGATTCTGGGAAAAGTACAGACCTCAGTAGTATTTATACGAAACAAACACTATATTTTTAGAAAACCTTAATAGATTAATCCCATTGAATCAACACTTTCTTACAGAATCAAACTGCTTGTGAGAATTCTTTTTTTTCCCCCTACCTGTGGCTTATTATAAGACAATCCAGACACCTCCACTGATTCATGAGCCTGCCATTTTCCCTTGTGTGTGCTACTTCTCACTTCCATTCTTCCTCAATAAGCAGGTTACTGTTCCCATGCATCACAGAAGAAGATCCTAAGGGAAGACAAAAAAAAAAACAAAAAAACAGAGATAACAGTGTTGAGTTTCACAGTGGTCAGAGGCAACCTGTTAGTTGACTGTTTCATCTTCAAGCTGTTGTATGTAATACAAATAGTGGTTTTCTTCCCAAACTTGTTTAACTCCT